GGGTAGAAGCGTTCTAATCTATGAGAAGGGAGGCGAATCATTGTTTTTATCTTCAGGTTATTTGGCATTTTTGAAATTGAATGACCACTTGCAAATCAGACATTGCTTCTACCCCATGTGTCAATTTCAAAGTACTCGCTTGGCTATTCGGCAAGAGGATATTCAGTATTTACTCATACCCAACCACATTCATTCCGAAATAAAGAGAATTGCTTTTCAAAAGTACAGCGAGCACTGTCAAACATATTCATATTCTGTATTTGTAAACAGTTTCAAGTGCATTTTATTGTGTTCCTATATATTTTGTACACTCATCGGTTGCTTTGAGGTGGATGACTGTCGTGGGTTATATTCCATGGAATTGATTTCTCATCCGTTATGGTGGTATGGGCCTCCATAATCAAGAGAACATCGACATGTACCAAAAAGGCAAAACAGCAGAAACAAACATGAAACGAGTGAACAACAAGAACAAGAGAATGGTTTTTTGGTACTTAAATACATTATGTATTGGGCTTATAGTGCCACTTTGGAAGCCAGATACCGAGTATGTGAAATGAATGTCGAATTAATAAAAATAATAATGATGAATCGCTTATCGATTCGGCTTGGTTTGCCATAATCCGAAAAGCCGTTACCTGTGGGCGGTATATTGCTCACCTATAGGTAGTTTCGCACGGTATTAAGCTTTCTGCATATTTTATAGGAAATAAAGTCTATGAACTCGACTAACATGAACGACACTTCACCGAAATAGCTGTTTCAATTTGAAAAAGGTTATTCATGCTTAGATCCTGAAATAAAGGAGAGTTTATAAGTGTTGTTGTTCCATAGGCATTAACCCTATACCTGACAATATGTATTGCCGAGGTTAGTACAACTTTCACTCTTTTCTGACTTCTCAACAGTTTTTATAATTTCTTTCAGGCACTACTACAATACATCAATTTTTGTATCTGATGATGGCCTGTGGCCGAAACTTGTTACACTTCCTTCCTATAGAATAAGTCTTGTGGTAAACAGACTTTGTGCCTTTTATTGTTTTTTCTTTTGAAAATCATTTGGGCCACTCTGAGCAATAGGGATCTACGATTTCAATGTAGACTAGTCCATCGCGTGTATCCTTCTTTCACCTCTTGGAACGCACGAAAGAAAGTCCTATAATGTTAGTGGAATATGCGTACCTATAGGAAGGATAGGGAGAGAAAGGGAGAGAAGATACAGTCGTCTTCAGAGATCATGTCGCGGTTGAACGGTGTCAGCGCTCTTATTGCAAAAGTTATTAAGAATGCTAGCATCTTCCATATGCGACATGTTGTCTCAAGACGACTGACTGTACATACATAAGTGTTGAAATTTCTGAAGGTTTTAAGTTGTTGGGCATACTTTCATTGGCAAAGAATTCCAATGCTTCGCCGTTTTATAGACGAACGAGCAGTGCTGCCGTTTTGCAAGTAGTTACTTGCATTTGCAAGTAATCACAAAGTTTTGCAGTAATCGGTAAGGATTCAACATTTTGCAAGGATTTTGCAAGGATTCTGAGTGAATGACCATGACTTCGTTTTGCGAAGTGTGTCAGTCGTGTTCCGTACTCTATTCGTCTTTCTGTGTTCTGTGTTTTGATCTTCTGTGGTATTTGCGCATCTGTCATTATTGTCATTTTTGTGCTAGGCACTTCATTTTTGTGCTAGGCACTTGACTAATGGATCGAGGCTTGACTTGACAGTTGACACTGATGACAGTTGTCATCGACAACAATGGAAAATGACAAAGCAAAAATGGAGGCCTGCCTGCTGCCACCATTGAACAGTGTTCACATTGAGTTCATTGGCAGCCGCTGCTTGAGAAGTGAGCAAAGATGAAAAATTATAAATTATACGATATGATCAGAAGGTGGTTGCTCAGTTCGGAAATTATTCAAATAATGATAGAACCAGCTCATTTTGAGTGGAATATTTCCCTTACAGAAAAAGAAGGATTCCAGTGATGGAGGAAGATCCCATCCTGTTACTTGGATACCATTGGGCTTCTGGCCGCTAGATGTCACGTGCTTTTATACGTCATAGTTGTCAAATGTCAAAATGATGACTGATAGTTCAACCGTTTCAACATTAGCGTCTGCGGACAGGTGCAAGTAATAACTCCGTGGTGGGAGAACGTTATAGTGGGCAGTAGATGCGACTGGCGTTATGCGGCGCCGACTGAATGACTTCATCATACTTCGTCTCGTGAGCAACTGGTTGGCTCAGTGAGCAGAGCATCGGCATGCCAAGCCGGCGGGCCGGGGTTCGAATCCGTGCGAGGCTCATCTTTTTTTTATTTTTTTCTTGTTCTCAAGTGATTTCTAAAAAATATTCTCTATGGGAAATAGGTTAATTTAGGGGTTTTCTATGTTTAGGCCAGAGGTGAGGTTCGGTTAGGTTAGGTTAGAATAGAATAGAATATTTTATTTGGTGTTATTGGTGTTAATACAAGTACAGATATACTCATAAATAGTATATGTACCGCCGAAGCGAGTACATATACTAAAAATGTGGAACGCTTTACGATTTTGCGTGTCATCCTTGCGCAGGGGCCATGCTAATCTTCTCTGTATCGTTCCAATTTTTAGTATATGTACCGCCTTCTCATTTTTTATGCAGAAACAATATTTTCCTTCCTCAAGAAAAATTCTCCTTCTTCAAGAAAAAAGGTTCATCTAGGTCGATTGATTGTTAAAAAAAATGCCTTCCTTATATTAGACTCGACACAAGTTAACTAACGTTCCCCTACCACGGAGTTATTACTTGCACCTGTCCGCAGACGCTAGTGTTTCAACACCTTCAATTTTATATTATTCCATTTTTATTACGATGACACAGTGGAGCACACGAAATTGTTTTGTGTAAAACATAAAATTCATAAGCATTTTGTAGTAGAATATTTGCAAGGATTTTGTCAGGATTTTCATGGGATTTTCGAAATTTTGCAAGTAAAATGCAAGGATTTTGAAATGAATTTGCAAGTAATTCCACAAATTCGAGTGGCAGCACTGCGAACGAGTTTTGGTTGGGTATTGTATATCTCGTAATTGCATTGAGAATTTTGTATGCCGGCCTTTTTTCTTCATCTGTATACATGAAAACACAGTTATAACTCAGTATATCATAATTCCGTATCAAAATCTCAATTTCCGTGGACTATCAGTCGATGTTCTTTCAACCTTGGAGATCTCAAATCATCAGACGTTTTCAATAAAAGGATGTCTCAAATTATGTCCCATATGTTATAATCAACTGAAGGTGTGTATTCAACTGTTTAGGCGAAGACTTTCCGGTCAGACAGTCTGCTTGATATACTGGATCGATATGAAAAGAAAATAAGGACCATTCTTTTTTAAATTAAATATTCAAATTTATACGTCACAGGTGTTAAAAGTTCAGGTCTGTTTGAAAGTGAATGGGGAACAATAATTTATGTATAACTGCAGAGGCGTAGATCAAATTATGAATTTGAAAGGAGATAAAATAAAATTATCGTTAAATTGTTTACTCTCAATCAGAATCACAATTCACCTGAAATGGTATTCGTCTTCATAGGGTGAATGGAATAGACGCAATAGTACTGTTGAAAAATTTTTTTTCAAGTATATTTTCCATAATAGTTATTTTTGTATCTAGAGCGCGAATTGCTACTTTGGTGATCAAGATCTGATTTTTTTAACGAGGCGTAGCCGAGTTAAAAAAATAGTCGAGATGACCAAACTATTTCGCGCTCGAGTTGCAAACAAGATTTTTTCTACAAACGTCAAAAAATATAGTTCTAAAGTGAAAATATACTTAGCTCGATATAGAAAATAGTGTTGAACTGGCTTAAAAGGTCTCCCCCTATCCTCCCTAGGTACGCACGATGTTCCACGAACATAATTGGAATTTCCTTTCGTGCGCTCCAAGAGAAAAAACAAAGTTATTGTTGAACATTCAGAAAAAAATGATTTTGTGGATGTCTGCTCGATTGAGGAACATAAAGTTGAAATATGAATGTCTCATATATTTTACATAACAATGCGCGAAGTAGGTACTTCGCGCACTGTTTTACTTCGCGCATTGTTTTTTGCAAGGAATCATGGTAACGTAGGAAACTGAAAAAAAGTGTCACTCCGCAATTTGTTATCAATGCGCGAACCTTGTCATTTTTTGACGTTTGTAGAATTTTTTTTTTTTTTTACATTTGCTGCCAGCGTGCAGAAAAGTGCTTTTTCGCACTCATTTTGGCGTCGAAAGAGACACATTTTGCTCTAGTACGGAGTAAGACCCTTTCTCAGGTTCTCTCTGAAATTTGCATTGACAAAATTATGCTCCTGAAATGTCTCATATTGGGAAAAATTCAATATTTCCAGTACCGTATTCACTGTTCATAGACATTTCATTCACATATGGACTAAGGCTATTTCATGCATACATTTCTCTCTCAAGCTGACGAGTGAGTATAACCTCACTATTCAATTTTCGGAAGCCAATCAATTTTCATGTGAGGTATGTATGATTATAGAATATTCATTGATTACACATAGATAAAGTACCCGTTGTATAAACCTTAACATCAGAGGTGAATCAAACCTCCTAACGATGGCTATAAACGATACCAAAAATATAAACAATAGTTATTTGTTTTACTAGGCAGAAAAGTAGATCGACTGCCGCGGCTGATAGTTCATACGAGCGTTGCGAGGCTAGGAATTCAGCCAAGGCATTATATCTTCTTTTCTGCCATGTGAAACATATAATTTTTTCTCCAAATTCTTTCCGAATTCACGCAAAGTCCAAAGAATCCATAGTTTTTTGTTCACCCAAAGTCACTATCCCTGCCGCTTGTGGAGAAAATATAAATATTCAATCGCCTGTTAAAGGCTTTCTGAAACATAGACTACAACGAACTGTCGATATTTCTTATCAATTTCCAAGAATTCCTCTTGTCAGGTCAATTCTCCTTCCACTCATTCAAAATTGACATCGAATCAGAAAATAATGAATTTATATTTCTTCACTTAACATTAAAATAAAATCATTCAAGTAGCAATTAGTTGATATTGCTATCAAAAACTCTAATGACATCCTCTTGGCCATGAAAGCGGCCATTCAAATTCGTTGGGCACAAGACCATCGACATTCTTCTCAAAGTACAAAAACACCTCAAACCACCACGCTCTGCTGAGAAAGTTAGTAGACGAATACTGTTTCAAACTAGTATTATTTGCTAATGTGTGGTAGATCCAGAACAATCGAGTCGTCAGAAAGTATGCTAGTATGATGTCGATCGAATAGTGGCCATGTGATAACATCAGCATCAGAATTCCGAATCCCGCTAGAAACCAGTAAATCCAATTGATAATCCATAATCTGCCAGGAATGTACTCAGCAATCACCAAGTAGCAAAATACTAGTATAGCTGTATGTCCACTGTAGATAAAATCACCACAGTATGTATATTTTCCACTAACCGCCAGCCCGAATCCCCAGAATAATGTCCACATTCTCGTTACAACCTCAACTGTCGTGAGTTTTGCAGATTTTGGTGAACACAAATAAGTTTTACTCGCGATGGGTAGCACTGTTATATACATAGTCACCGCCCTGTATAAATACAGTAATGATAACATTGCGAAAATTCTTCTGAATACTATATAACGATGCTTGTGGAGGAATGCCATCAAAATCACCGAGTTTATACTGATCATTATGATGTATTCAGATACATCTAGAGCCCAATCATATGGAGGTGTCCTATCCAGAAGAACATCTGGAAGTGGTCCATGTTTATTTCTATCTGGCACTCTCTCATGAACAAGACTGAGCGACAAAAGAGTCAATAAGAAACCTATCGTCATCATTATCGCAGCGACAAGTGTCTTGAGTTTTTCTTTAGGAAAGTTAGATTTGTTTTGTATCGATTCTCCTAGCTCAAGTATAACGAATTCATTATCTGGAATATCCATATGAGCTGCTTGTGATGTTGAAACTTCTCCTACTTGTTCTTGAATTAGGGAAAAAGGACACGACATGGATCTATTCAAAACTGGTAAGAGAGGTTCTTTCTGTTGAAGATCATCACGATGGATGTTCTTGAAATTAGTAGAGTGGGTACTTCCATAATAAATCAATTTCGAATCTTTCTCCTGTTCGTGATATTCATAATGTATGCTATGAAACGGAAACTGATTCATAAATTTCACCAGGCATTTCATCGGAAGTGTGTCGTTGACCACTTCAGCATAATCTTCATCTGCATCTTGAGTTACTATTTCTTCAACATAAACATTACTTGTTTGTGCATTTTGTAGATCCTCGTTCACTATTCGAACATTGGAAGTGTTTGATTCATCGATTTCTGTAAGTTTGAAGAATACTTTATTGGAATCATTCTGCCCGTCTCTGTATTGATAAACAGTGAACGATTTCTGTGTTTGTATCAAATTATCAGATTGAAAGGATATACTTTCTAAGCCTTTGACACAAAGGCCAGACATTGAACTGACGTTTTCAAATTTGACTCGAAAATTCGACATATTCATTGACATGTATCAGAGTATGATTTATATAGGAAAAGCTTAGTGGAAAATGGAACCAAACTTGAAAAGTTCATTTGAAATTTGAGATGAATCACCTTGGTATTACCAATACGCAATGGTAATGTCAAATACCGTACTGGTTTGGTAAAGAGATTGCCTAGCGCACTATAGTTCGGAAAAGGAGGTATTAGGTCATAAGTTGTTTCACTTTCCATGAACTGAAAATTGCAAGAGTACAACCAGTTCCTGAAAGAGGCAAAAATACCCGACCTAGCAACTACAGACCGATCGCACTGCTATCTATCATTTCAAAGATCATGGAGAAATCTATCAACATCGAGCTCATGAAATACCTGGAACATTCTGGTATCATCAACGATAGGCAATATGGCTTTCGTCATAAGAGATCAACTGGTGACCTGCTCCTTTACGTCTCACATATATGGCAGCAATCTATTAAAAAATATTTTGAAACCTTATCCGTGGCACTCGATATCTCCAAAGCATTCGATTGAGTCTGGCACAATGGACTCCTCGCCAAGCTTTCATCTTATGGCTCTTGCTTTCCCCAGCTATTGGTAGCTAGTTTTCTCTCGAACAGGTCTCTTCATGTAGTGGTCGACGGAGTTTCATCTGAATCTCTTACCATAACTGCTGGTGTTCCGCAAGGATCAATTCTAGCACCAACACTATTTCTACTCTACTCCATACCGCCTTTTCTTCCAGTGCTCCAATACCAGCCAGGCAAATCAGAGGAACGAGGGAGAAATGTTGACAACATAAATATGGACTTAGCAACAATTCTCGAATGGGGATCCAATAACTTGGTAGATTGCAATGCAAACAAAACACAAGCATGTCTTGCCAAACATAAGCATGTCAGGGATAATCATACCTTTCAAGACATTCATTTCGATGCTTGGTATTACTATCAGCAATAACCTTTCTTGGGAAAATCACGTGAGACCAATAGGCGAGTGGACTATTTTTTTTTTATTTTTTTTTTAGAATATTCACATGAATGTTATCCATTTTATGAATTTTCAAAAATTTTTTGATTCATTATGAGGGCTCAAAAGTACGAAAAAAGTCACAGTCATTTTTAAACGGTCTAAAAGTTACCGCTATTCACAATCGACGTCACGAATTCGTCACGATTCAAGAAGGGGTGAGGGATATAGCGCAGTTGCCATATGTCAAATTACGTCTTTGAATCAAAGAATGCTAGAATGTGAAAATTCAGAAAATCTTGATTATTGGTATACATTTATTCTAAAATATTCGAAGAAGTCATTCCACTTTGGTATACTCTATCTCTGATATACTCTGATTGAATTTTTATATAGAATTTGTAGGTGACAAGAGTATTTTTTATAATTGAGGATATTCAGCGATGTGAACGAGGCAACATCGCAATATCAGCATTGTGAAAGGAAGAATTAAGATGGAAGAAGAAATTATAACCTACAATTTGTGTTTTTGTTATTGAAGTTTTATTTGAGGATTTCTTTATTGATTGAAAACTTTTGTGCGTTGTGAACTTTTGTGTAAGCATGCCTGTAAAAGAGTGTTTTGTAACGACTTGTGGAAATACAAGTGAGAATAATAAAAATAAACTCTTCATCATTTTGCCTCGCAGACCAGAGTTGAGAATGAAATGGTTTACAGCAGTAAATAGGAAGTACCTGACGAAAACGGAATTATATTGTTGTGAAGACCATTTTGATGTAAGTACAGTCGTATAAATTATTATTTCAGTGATTCCTATTCTTGGAATTGATCAAAATGTAATACCTTATTAATACTTACCCAACACATAATGATATTCATTCATGATATTATTTTCATTCCAGTTAAAAACTGACATGAAGAACTGGATGCAGTACAAATTACTGTCGACCCGAGCGTTCATGAATGAAAATGCGATTCCACGATTTTTCATCAAATCACCTATACCTGATAGCAGGAAATTTGTATCCCAGATATCAGATTCATCGAAAAAGAGGAAGAGGGATTCAGTGGATAGCTTCACAGAACAAGCGAAAAGACTGGCAAGACGTAGGATTGATTTCAAGAATGAAACTTCTGTGACCTCTCCTAACCTAAGTGAAACAAAGGAAGATCCCTCTGATGTTGTTATACCTGCAGCTTATCAAACATCTTTGCCATCAACATCCAAAAGCATTGAAGTTACTAAAACATTTTCTGTATCGAAAACTAACAAAAAATCCCCCTATTTCAACAACAAAATCTCTCCTGTTCCTGAATATATTGAATCTCCCTCTGGATCTTTTCTTTCTACTGGAAGGAAGGAAGTATTACCGAGTGTTGAAAATTGTTATTTTGTTTTGACTGAACCTCTCAGAGGTGTTGATAAACAGTGCCAAGTTAATATAAGACCAAAATACAGAAGTATTGCTGTCAATACAAGAATAGGCAAAGCTCAGCTACGTACAGTATCTACAAACACCTCAATACAGTTCAAATCTATAAGCAGTCCACAAATTTCTCCATCCAAATCTAGTTCAATATCTACAATGTCTTCTGATCCTTGGATCAGTTCAAATTCAGGAACATCAAGCTGTAATGAATCTGATTTTGAAAACTATAATGATTTATCAGCCTATATCAACAGAACAAAATTTCTAATGCAAACTAAGAGTAGATTTTATCTAGGAGTACCTGAGGATACATATTTCATTGTTGATTTATTATCCAAACACACATCAGCACCTGTTGATCACATATTGATATGTTTGAAAAAAATCAGATTAAATGATCCTAATTCAAGATTAGCAGATGAATTTGGTATTTCTGATTCATATGTTGCCAAAATATTTCACAAAACTGTTCCAATGCTGGCTCAGTTTCTGAAGAAATTAATTTTCTGGCAGCCTTCAGCTCATGTGAGATCCATGTTACCAATTTCATTTCGATATCGCTATAGTAAGGTGCAATCAATAATCGATTGCTTTGAAATTGAAATTGAGATACCATCAGACCCTGTTAAGCAAGCAATGACATGGTCCCAATATAAAAAATGCAATACCATGAAATATTTGATATCTGCAACACCTCATGGATTCATCAACTTCATTTCTCCAGGGTTTGGTGGTAGAGCAACAGACAAAGTGATAGTAGAGTTTTCTGGATACTTGGACACTGTACCACATGATACCCAGGTTATGGCTGATCGTGGATTTAAACAGGTTGTTTCATTACTAGCCACAAAAAACTGTACATTAGTCAGGCCACCTAGTGTTGCGGCCGATCATAAAAGTTCCAAGTCTGAGGTGAAAGAAAGCAAGAGAATAGCTGCTTTGAGAATTCATATTGAACGTGTAATAAGACGATTACGTGAATTTCATATATTGAAAATGCATTCTTGTGTTAATCATAAAATTTTATATTTACTTGACCACATGATACTGATTGCTTGTGGCATGATAAATCTCCAACATGTCTTGATTAAATAATTTTGTATCAATATGAACCTATACCATGAAATTAAAATGTTTTAAAAAACCATATTGTTTCACTTAAAAAGAAAAAGAAATGCTGTATTCTGATGTCAGTTGTCTGAATAAGATTTTTTTAAATAAATGGTAATTTCAGATATATTTTCACAAATTGTGTTCTTAGAGTTTGACTCATAATACATAGGATTATTTTTTTCTGAAGTAAGGGATTCTAAGAATGAGAATACTTGTTAATAAATATACAGAATTTACTTTTTTTGTTATTACAAGTGAAATAACTGCTTGTTTGTTTAAAACCTGTGAGCAGTAAAATGTGTACCAATAAACTATGAAAATTTGTTTTAAAAAGCAATAAAGGATTTTAGAATTGGATAGGATTTCAAAAAATATTAATACTTGTATAGAAAGAATTTATTCATTAAATGATGTATTCAATATACTGATATTATAATATACAAAATAATTGAGATCTGTAATGATAAATACTAAGTGCATTAAACGATTTCAATATCCTTACAAAATTTTAGATTTATGATGTATACCTATACTTCAACTAAACTTAAAAGTAGCGAGGATTGAAAAAATACTGAAATTCATATGAATCAATATTTTGAAGTGAAATGTATAAAAAAAGTGAGGTATAATATTATATTGATATTGAAATAGGTATGCAAGAAAACAATTCTTGTTGAAGCTATTTGTAAAAAAAACAGTTATCTATATGAATCCATTCAAAACTTAAAATAATTTGGATATACATCAGTCAAACATAAAGCAATAAATACATACAGCATAGAATCAAATTTTCATTAATTTTGTGAAAATACAATTTTTCCAAAATACTAGAGCTTCCTTCAAAAGTTGCATTGTAAATGGTGCATCATAGAAAACTTCGATTTGTTTAAAATTTTTTGTTGATTCGAAATCAGGCATTGCCACACAATAGTATCCCTTTTCACGACCAGTCAAAAGCATCTGTAGTTGCATTTGTGCAAAAGGTTTTTTGGTAATATTACCAGTAGAATTTATGTAATTCAAGATAGTTTTATCTTTAAATGGGCATTTTATTTCCAAAATATGGGTTTTGGTCAGTCCATCTGGAGAGGCACCAAATATGGGATATTCTTCAGTCAGAAAAATGCCACATTTCTCTACTTTTTCTCCATTTCGTTTTAAAAATTCTTCAAACACAGAATCTTCCAGTATTTTTCCTCTAGTGACAGCCTCGGTTTCAATAACTTTGCTGCCACCTAAGATTGATTCCACAAGACTTCCATCTTCAGTTTTGCATTTAGCAGCCTCATACACCTTAGAAGCTGTTATTCTACCATATCTAACTTCATACCACTCAGATGACTTTGACTGGTCCTTTGTGTTACATTCAACTTGCTTATAGGTTGATTTGGAAACTGCATTCTTCAAATAATCAATAAATTCATCTGCTTTATACTCAGATCTACCCTGCTTAAACTTCAATGTCAATTTGTG